CTGCCTGCATGCCTGCCTGTGTACCGCCTGTCTAACTCTATCGTTATCTCCGTTTCTGGTGATGGCCGTTAAGGTGTAAGGCCTATCGATGTGAATGAGTTTGGGTTCATTAGTATGTGGCTGTGTGGGCGTGCACGTGTTTGTGTGTATATGTGCGTGCGTGTGTGTGTGTGTGTGTGTGTGTGTGTGTGTGTGTGTGTGTGTGTGTGTGTGTGTGTGTGTGTGTGTATGTTTGTGTGTGTGCATGTGAATGTGTGCATGTGAATGTGTGTGTACGTGCATGCGGTGTGTATGCGTATGTGTACGTGTGTGTGTGTTTATCTGCAACGTGTTTTCCACCCATTACAGAAGCCATCCAGGGCCTTGTCTACTTACTAGGGCGTATACGGCGTGACAGACTTCTGGCACTGATCCTCGACTGCCTCTATCACATCTGCATGGGCGATCCCGACTCTAAACTCATGACCATGGCTTGCAACGGTGAGGCAGCGTCGGACTGTGTTACAGGTGGAATCCTGATAATTCGAATATGGCTTAATTCGAACATACCGCTTAATTAGAAGTTTTTCCAGGACCGATTTCTGTCAAAATGATTCCCACATAAAATTTTCTAATAATTCGAACCTCGAACCGGACATGTCTGGTTAATTCGAAGTTCCACGGACTCCACTTACATAGAAAATGTGTGGGATTTGTGCTGATAATTCGAAGTTAGCAACGTGTAATTCAAAGTTCACTGTACACTGTACTGGTCAGTGCAGTTTGCATGAGCAGGCTGTGCCTGTCAGTTCAGTATCCGTGAGATCTGTGTCTAAGGTCCATAGCGCAACTCTGCGTGACCATGGGAGCATTTTTTGACATACATATTGTGTTGTGGATTCATGTTTGGATAATTAGAATGTCCGGATAATTAGAAGTTTTTTTCTGGCATTTGGAGGTTCGAATTATCAGGATTCCACCACCTGTACTACTACTACTACTACTACTACTACTACTACTACTACTACTACTACTACTACTACTACTACTACTACTACTACTACTACTACTACTACTACTACTACTACTACTACTACTACTACTACTACTACTACTACTACTACTACTACTATTCATATGTTGGCCTATTTAACATTGGCATGCTCTGCGGATTTGTAGGCATGCTAGGCAATTTAAATATTATCCTGCAAAGTATTTTGTAGGTGCTTGACTACTATACTACGTCATGTATTACAATTGGTACATGACTTAATAATAGCCGTTTGGCATGGTACAATAACCTTTTTTGTTTTATTTTTTATTTTTAATGGCTTTCTCTTCTTCCTCGGATGGTTTACAATTTGTATCACAATTATTTGTGGGTTCAGCAATAAAGGATGTGACTACTACTACTACTACTACTACTACTACTACTACTACTACTACTACTACTACTACTACTACTACTACTACTACTACTACTACTACTACTACTACTACTACTACTACTACTACTACTACTACTACTACTACTACTACTACTACTACTACTACTACTACTACTACTACTACTACTACTACTACTACTACTACTACTACTACTACTACTACTACTACTACTACTACTACTACTACTACTACTACTACTACTACTACTACTACTACTACTACTACTACTACTACTACTACTACTACTACTACTACTACTACTACTACTACTACTACTACTACTACTACTACTACTACTACTACTACTACTACTACTACTACTACTACTACTACTACTACTACTACTACTACTACTACTACTACTACTACTACTACTACTACTACTACTACTACTACTACTACTACTACTACTACTACTACTACTACTACTACTACTACTACTACTACTACTACTACTACTACTACTACTACTACTACTACTACTACTACTACTACTACTACTACTACTACTACTACTACTACTACTACTACTACTACTACTACTACTACTACTACTACTACTACTACTACTACTACTACTACTACTACTACTACTACTACTACTACTACTACTACTACTACTACTACTACTACTACTACTACTACTACTACTACTACTACTACTACTACTACTACTACTACTACTACTACTACTACTACTACTACTACTACTACTACTACTACTACTACTACTACTACTACTACTACTACTACTACTACTACTACTACTACTACTACTACTACTACTACTACTACTACTACTACTACTACTACTACTACTACTACTACTACTACTACTACTACTACTACTACTACTACTACTACTACTACTACTACTACTACTACTACTACTACTACTACTACTACTACTACTACTACTACTACTACTACTACTACTACTACTACTACTACTACTACTACTACTACTACTACTACTACTACTACTACTACTACTACTACTACTACTACTACTACTACTACTACTACTACTACTACTACTACTACTACTACTACTACTACTACTACTACTACTACTACTACTACTACTACTACTACTACTACTACTACTACTACTACTACTACTACTACTACTACTACTACTACTACTACTACTACTACTACTACTACTACTACTACTACTACTACTACTACTACTACTACTACTACTACTACTACTACTACTACTACTACTACTACTACTACTACTACTACTACTACTACTACTACTACTACTACTACTACTACTACTACTACTACTACTACTACTACTACTACTACTACTACTACTACTACTACTACTACTACTACTACTACTACTACTACTACTACTACTACTACTACTACTACTACTACTACTACTACTACTACTACTACTACTACTACTACTACTACTACTACTACTACTACTACTACTACTACTACTACTACTACTACTACTACTACTACTACTACTACTACTACTACTACTACTACTACTACTACTACTACTACTACTACTACTACTACTACTACTACTACTACTACTACTACTACTACTACTACTACTACTACTACTACTACTACTACTACTACTACTACTACTACTACTACTACTACTACTACTACTACTACTACTACTACTACTACTACTACTACTACTACTACTACTACTACTACTACTACTACTACTACTACTACTACTACTACTACTACTACTACTACTACTACTACTACTACTACTACTACTACTACTACTACTACTACTACTACTACTACTACTACTACTACTACTACTACTACTACTACTACTACTACTACTACTACTACTACTACTACTACTACTACTACTACTACTACTACTACTACTACTACTACTACTACTACTACTACTACTACTACTACTACTACTACTACTACTACTACTACTACTACTACTACTACTACTACTACTACTACTACTACTACTACTACTACTACTACTACTACTACTACTACTACTACTACTACTACTACTACTACTACTACTACTACTACTACTACTACTACTACTACTACTACTACTACTACTACTACTACTACTACTACTACTACTACTACTACTACTACTACTACTACTACTACTACTACTACTACTACTACTACTACTACTACTACTACTACTACTACTACTACTACTACTACTACTACTACTACTACTACTACTACTACTACTACTACTACTACTACTACTACTACTACTACTACTACTACTACTACTACTACTACTACTACTACTACTACTACTACTACTACTACTACTACTACTACTACTACTACTACTACTACTACTACTACTACTACTACTACTACTACTACTACTACTACTACTACTACTACTACTACTACTACTACTACTACTACTACTACTACTACTACTACTACTACTACTACTACTACTACTACTACTACTACTACTACTACTACTACTACTACTACTACTACTACTACTACTACTACTACTCCTTACAGTATTCAGGAGTAGCAACAAACTCGGCCATTTAAAAATAATCTTAGCCGTCCACCTCTCCATACTGCGCTCTTGGCCCACATGTAATCGCCGGCCAAGAAGCAATGTTGGGTGTCTCTGTTATTTCAATCGCAGCGATCGCTGGTTTATTTTGGTTCTGAGACCAACCAACTCTGGGCTCGTTTCCTTGTCCAGCGGCAAGCGAAAATCAGAACTCCTATCACTCTGGTGCTGGTGAATACTCAGCAGGAAAACACTACATAATGGTGTGAGAGCAAAGGAGAAACTTCTTGAAGTAAAACAAAATTTGAACACGCGATCTTGCACGAGCGCGCCCCAGTCAAAGTGATGCCGGGACCGTTGGAAACACGACATGCGCAGGTGACGCGACTTTTGTTTGTCACCACTTGGCCTTGTAACTACGCGTAACTGCGAGTTTTCAGGCAGCGTGACGTATGCACTTCGACAGCCTTTTGGTCTCTAAATACAGGTGGTCTCTAAATACAGGTGGTCTCTAAATACAGGTGGTCTCTAAATACTGGTGGTCTCTAAATACAGGTGGTCACTAAACACAGGTGGTCTCTAAATACAGATGGTCTCTAAATACAGGTGGTCTCTAAATACACGTGGTCTCTAAAGTCAGGTTGGCATGTTTGTTGAGGATTGATACGGTCTGCGTTGTGTGGAGATGTTCCTTTACTGCCATGAATCGATTCATGAATGGAATCTCGTCGTTCGATTTCACGTCATGAGCCCCGGAATTGGTTCGGAATCCATTCACCCTATTCACATGCTGGGGTGATGTGAATAGTCGGGGGCGATTCATGAATGGAATCAACATCGATTCGCGGGCAAAATCGAACGCACTCACTAAGATTGCAAACTGTGTTGATTGGTATTTTTCCCTCGTCCTGTTCAGGTCCACAAGAGATTGTGCGAGTGTTGCAAACCAACGACTACCAGAAGCTGGTAACTACTGGTATGCGTGTGCTCAAGGTTCTCTCAATCTGTCAACACGTCAAAGAGTCAATAGTCAAGGTGTGTTTTTATTGCTGGTGTTTGGATTTGAGGTGGATGGGGTGAGAGAATGGTAGTGGTGCTGGTATGTGGGGGTGGGATAGGAAGGGGTGGGGGGAGTGGTGCTGGTGTTGGTTCTGGTGGTGGTGGTGGTGCTGGTGGTGGTGATGCTGCTGCTGCTGGTGGTGCTGCTGCTGGTGGTGCTGCTGGTGGTGCTGACGCTGGCGGCGGCGGAGGCGGCGTGTGTGTGAGAGCGTGTGTTTGGTTGTGTTTGTGTGTATATGTGTGTGTGTGTGTGTGTGTGTGTGTGTGTGTGTGTGTGTGTGTGCGCGTGTGCGTGTGCATGTGTGTGTGTGTGTGTGTGTGTGTGCGTTGGAAAAAAATTCTGGGGGAGGGCCCCGCACCCCCGCCCGTTTTCATAGTCACACCAAGGTAGAATACCTTCCGACGCCGCTGTGGATGTGGATGGCTGCTGCTTTTCTTCTGATCTTGCTTTCAGTGTGGGGGCATGCAGGTGATGGCCAAGCATATTCACGGCGAGGGAAAGATTAAGAGGAATGTCCTGCTGACGATACGCAACCTTAGCGACACCGCCGGAAAGGAGCGTAAGTTGAAGCCCACTGCGGGGCATTGCCAAATACGGATTGCATGTGTAATGGATGCCAAATATGGATTGCATGAGTAATGCATGTGAGTACACTGGGATCAGGGTCCGTTCATTCAGGGATGAACTGTTCACTGCGACACCGCAGACGACCATGCCCAGGTGGCTGTGTGGGGGGGGGGGGGGGTGTTTGCGGTACGAATTGCGTAATCGCGCAATTGACAAGGGCTATGCGTAGGGAGGGCGTGTTTTGTGGGTGATGACGGCTTGACCATGCATGCTACATGTATATCAAATAATGTTTTGCAAGGTTCAGTGTGACAGTGTATATTGGCGGGAGCAGTACAGGCCGAAAATTTGATGCGGCCGAATTGTGTTTTAGCCCTGGGAGGCCGATGTTTGAATGGGCTGAACATTTGTAGACGTACAGTAATCATTCATTGTCTTCCTACCCTCTCACACAATGTCTTCTTGTAGCCAACATGGAGCCAATCATCGGCAGTTGCTTGGAGCTACTGGGGGACTCCGATGTTACCACAGTCACCTGCTCAGTAGGAATACTCAGCAATCTGACCTGCAACAACCCGCCAAATAAGGTATGCCAGTAGTGCGGCCTCAGGTGTGCTTTATGCTGCCACCGCTGATGTTCTTTGTGCTGCTGTTGATGCTGCTGCTGCTGCTGATGTTCTTTGTGCTGCTGTTGATGATGCTGCTGCTGGTGCTGCTGCTGATGGTGCTGGTAGTGCTGCTGCTGGTGCTGGTTATGGATGAAAGTTATCACTGCTGTAAAGTGGCGCTGCAAAAGGCTGGTGCCATTCTGCATGCAGCAGCACAGTTGCCAAGGCAGGTGCTCCGTGTGGAAAGCACTTGGGTACCGGCCATTCTCATGTGCTTGTGTGCCTTGTTTGTAATTCTCGTTTGTGTGTATGTGTGTGTGTGTGCGCACGTGTGTGTGTGTCTTTGTGTATGTATGTGTGGATGTGTGTGTGTGCGCGCATGCGCAGAACTTCCTGTTCATGAAGAGCGGCATACAGTCGCTGCTACAGCTTTGCTCCTACTGTTCGCCCGACAACCAGAAGGACATCATTGAGCGTTGTCTGTGCACCCTCAGACACATGACTAACGGCTTTGAGAGAGCAGAACACGCCACACAGGCATTCCTCGTGAACGACGTAAGTTTAATTCGACTTATACCCCCCCCCCCTGCTGGATGCATGCTTCCTTTTGCAGTTTCCTGGTTTACAAGAAAATAATTGGATAGGATTGGAACATGAAAGAATATGGGCATAAGTTATGCGATCGAGTCCACCAACTGAACCAGATTTTGAACAGTCAGACGTGCACAATCTATCACAAAACTGGCAAGGAGTACTGAGACATTCCACGATGCGTAACTTCGATCGCATAACTTGTGCCCACATTTTCCATGGTACAATTTTTTCCTTGGCTCACCATCTGAGTTCTTAATTTCATTTGACCTTGTTGTAAGTGGGTGCACACCAGAAACCAGTTAACTGGATGGTCAAGTCAAGCATGAAGGGGCTAGGGCTCTGTGTGATCCCTGACAGCAGCCTAGTGGGTAGGGCATTCTCCCACGAGTCGGAGTGCTGGGTTCAAATCCCGCCCCCGGATCCTTCTTTTGCAACGAAGTGCAACTTGGTGTCCGTACTGACAACCCATGTTACCTGCCCATCTCGGTAATTCAGGTGTTCTGCAAAGCCAGTATGACTGCCGTGCATGCCACACATGTCAATACCAAAAGCAAGCTGCACCGCAGACCAGGTCAGGCATCACGTGTGCCGACCGCAGAGGTTTACATCTTCCATTTGAATTTTCTTCGTTGGGCTTACTTCTTCTTGGCTTCCTAATGGCAAGAAGAGAAGTGAGAACTTGCATGAGGTTTGTGACCCAGCAAAACGCTTGCTTAGCTCTGATTAGCTGAGGGTGGTTGACCAATCGTTTCAGGTGTGAAGTTCATAGGCAGAATAAGCAATCATCCCTTTTGCCAGAGTTGCTTGATGCTTTAATTTTTTTCTTCATCTTGTGCATGTTGCGCTGTGCGTGCACGTATGTGTATGATTGTGCGTGTGTGTGCGTCGGCTCGTGTGTGTGTGTGCGTGCATCGGTGTGCCTGTGCGTCTGTGTGTGTGACTGGCTGGCTGTGTAACTGTGTGTGTGTGTGTGTGTGTGTGTGTGTGTGTGTGTGCGCGTGACTGCAGGGCCATAAGCTGATTTCTCGCTACATGGCCCCGTCGAGTTGGTATTTCACCAAACACGCCGCCGGGCTCCTGGACAACATTGCCGCCTACCATACGAATCATGCAATTCTCTGTGAAGACCCGTAAGTTTGCACATTACACTGCAGAACTGTCAGTCGCCGAAGAACTGGGGGTCTAGCTTAGACTGTTCTGATTTTCATTTCTTACATGACACGTGATGGTTGCCAGGGCCATGGGCAATCGGCGGTCTTCCCGCCGCGGGCATAATCAGGTCATCAGGACCGTTTGACATCATTCCGGGAGTTTCAGGACCATTTGACGTCATTACGGAAATAATTCGACCTTTCGACCTTTGACCTTCCCTAATATTGCTTCTTGCTGTAAGAAATCAAATCAGGCACGCTCTGTCTGTCATGATGGCTGAATCTTGCCCGAGCCTGCAGCGCTCGGGCCTACGGCCCTTGGGCTGCAGGCTCGGGCAAGATTCGGCCATCATGACCTCCTGAGCGGGCTTGATTACATACTTCTTACTGTCTATGCACAGTTCTGCGTATTGTATTGAATTTATTTTACTTCGGTGGACCAACAGTACATTGGGCGCTTTCGATTACACCTTTACACAATTCTGGAACTGGTTTTTTAAATTCTGGAATGACCAGAATGAGCGGATTCCGGCCTTGTAAACGAACGACTGGAATTCACAACGCATTTTGTTCATGTCATGTCACAAACAAAATAATTGATGAATCGTAAAAAGAGATCACGTCCGCCTTCGCGCGCGCACGTGGACCCAGCATCGCGCACACGCCGGCCAGGGCCGCTCTTCACGCGCTTGAGTCATGACCAGACCGGTAACACACCGACTGTGCAATTCTGGCGCCAGAATTAGAGAAATTCCCCCCTCTCTTCAGAATTGACGGATTCGACGGAATTGTATAAAATCAATTCTAACGACGGAATTTGTCACTTTTTGGGTAATCGAATTGTGCATGAACAATAACTAATTCTAGAATTTACCGAAATGCGTGTAATCGAAAGCGCCCAATGTACTAGTACAAAGAGGCCCGAAAAAACGATCAAAAGGAGATAAAAAGGAAAAAGAAGGAGCAAACCGAAAACTAGACGAAACGAGAAAAAACGAACAAAAGAAACAGGAATATCAAATTATACAATCTGTATACCCTCACATGGCCAAAACGCTGTTTGAGTGAAGAACGTCATGGTATTGTCCTACATCATGGGAGGTAAATAGTAGCGTTGAGTCACCGTGTATATGTTGATATGCTGGGCATGGTGAAATTCTAGCCTGTTCTTCGGCGCTCCGTTGTTCTTCAGCACCAACCAGTGCTGTGTTCTACGGTTTCTTGGTGAATATGCCATAATGCTGAGTGTTCTCAGTAATGGAGACTATGTGATTGCGTCATCGGCTATGTGATTACATCATGGGCTATGTGATTACATCATCGGCTATGTGATTACATCGTCGGCTATGTGATTACATCGTTGGCTATGCAATTGCATCATCGGATGAGATGCATTTTGCAAAGTCGCGGCACAGTGCTGTACTGGCGGCTCTCACTGCATGCACAGCGCCCATATGGGCCATAAGCGGCTCTACGGTATACTTAGTGCCCATAAGCGGCTCTACGGTATACTTAGCGCCCATAAGCGGCTCTACGTTATACTTTAGCGCCCATAAGCGGTTCTGCGGTATACATAGCAACCATAAGCGATTCTGCGCTATACTTAGCAACCATAAGTGGTTCTACGGTATACTTAGCAACCATAAGCGGTTCTACGGTATACTTAGCGCCCATAAGCGATTCTGCGCTGTACTTACAGTCCATTCATTGGAAACTGGCACCCTAACTTTTTGATGTCTCTCTCACATAGTTTTAGATATCGTGAAAACAACAGTGCATCCTGCATTGTGTGACCCGTGCAATTACTCCTTGCCACATTTGAGGCCAGAAAAGTCCAAGAACAGGGAAATAGAAATTCAGCCAGGTTTTACAAAATTAGGACAGGTATGCCATGGCAAAATGTATGGAGAAGCAGATCCAAAACCCAGATTTTTGAGATTTAAAGTGGGTTTTTGATCCTCAATTCGGCCCAAATCCGACTTTCAAAAGCCAGCGGGCCAGTTTCCGATGAATGGACTGTAGCAACCATAAGCAGTTCCGCTGATTCACTCATGACATCATTCGCCGCTGAACCTCCATAGAACAAGCTGCTCAAGACCTACATATAGATAGTCATAACAAATACGTACGATTTTTTTATTTCTTGCAAATTTCTGCAGCTATTTGTTGATTTTATTTCAGAGCAAGCAGAACACTGCATTCTAATTTGGTGATGTTCCCATGTGCGTTCAGGGATCTGCTACCGTGCTTGGCACTGTGGTCTAATTTGGTGATGTTCTTTTGTCCGTTCAGGGATCTGCTGCCACGCTTAGCTGCAGTGATTAACATGGTGAAGTCCAGCCATGATGTTAAGGTGAGTACACTCACACAGCACTAGGGCTGTCAACGGGTAATAGGTCCAATGGTGTGTATGTGTGTGTGTGTGTGTGTGTGTGTGTGTGTGTGTGTGTGTGTGTGTGTGTGTGTGTGTGTGTGTGTGTGTGTGTGTGTGTGTGTGTGTGTGTGTGTGTGTGTGTGTGTGTGTGTGTGTGTGTGTGTGTGTGTGTGTGTGTGTGTGTGTGTGTGTGTGTGTGTGTGTGTGTGTGTGTGTGTGTGTGTGTGTGTGTGTGTGTGTGTGTGTGTGTGTGTGTGTGTGTGTGTGTGTGTGTGTGTGTGTGTGTGTGTGTGTGTGTGTGTGTGTGTGTGTGTGTGTGTGTGTGTGTGTGTGTGTGTGTGTGTGTGTGTGTGTGTGTGTGTGTGTGTGTGTGTGTGTGTGTGTGTGTGTGTGTGTGTGTGTGTGTGTGTGTGTGTGTGTGTGTGTGTGTGTGTGTGTGTGTGTGTGTGTGTGTGTGTGTGTGTGTGTGTGTGTGTGTGTGTGTGTGTGTGTGTGTGTGTGTGTGTGTGTGTGTGTGTGTGTGTGTGTGTGTGTGTGTGTGTGTGTGTGTGTGTGTGTGTGTGTGTGTGTGTGTGTGTGTGTGTGTGTGTGTGTGTGTGTGTGTGTGTGTGTGTGTGTGGGTGGGTGGGTGGGTGGGTGGGTGGGTGGGTGGGTGGGTGGGTGGGTGGGTGGGTGGGTGGGTGGGTGGGTGGGTGGGTGGGTGGGTGGGTGGGTGGGTGGGTGGGTGGGTGGGTGGGTGGGTGGGTGGGTGGGTGGGTGGGTGGGTGGGTGGGTGGGTGGGTGGGTGGGTGGGTGGGTGGGTGGGTGGGTGGGTGGGTGGGTGGGTGGGTGGGTGGGTGGGTGGGTGGGTGGGTGTGTGTGTGGTGAGCATATTTACATCCGTAGGTATAGCTCTCCACAACTGCATTGCATACTCAAAACCTCTTAGTACATAAAGGGCGTAAGACGTACTGTAGCGGACATGGAAATCCAGTCGATTGACCGGAGCCGGCGCCCTCAGCGCGTACAGAACGCTACGTGCAGTGCACAAGTCATGGTGATCCGATGCGACCAGCGCGCTGTGTGTACCACTTATCCACGGCTGCATGGCCAGCGCACTGGGGCCGGTACAGTGAACTTCGCTTATAACGACTGTGGATATAACGACAATTTGCGAATAACGACAGAATTTCCATGCCAAGAGCAAAGTCCCATCTAACTGTAATACATACTCAATCTGCGGACAGAACTGTTTCGTCCTTTGTGGACTCGTCAGCGCAGCACAGAGGAAATGAGGCCGAACCTGATAGCAATGGAAATAAAAATTTCCAATCAGGCCCGAACGTACCTTGCCAGAGTGCTCAAACTGACAAGTCAGTGAGCTCTGCATAAAGCAAACAGCAAAGGCACTACCCCACGCAAGAGTGCTCAACTGCTACAAGAGCAGGAGCGAAATACTCAATGTAATACATATAATGAGACTTCGGGCATAACGACACTTCGCGAATAAGGACATTTTTTTGACGCCCCGCCGAGTGTCGTTATAAGCGAAGTTCACTGTAGACGTGCGACCGGATTTCTATGTCCACTACAGCAGGATTGGGGAGTACATGTACGTACGTTTCGCAGTTGACGAAAAACAGGCACACTAGATTGCAGTGCGGGTGTAGTAAGCACTTTGGCTACGAAGTACTTTTCCGTGTTCCCATGTGGGTACGTCTTATCTGGTTTTGACGGTACTTGCAACATGTGTGTCACACCAGCAGTCAAGATAATGGACACTGCTTGATGCGGACTGGGAGATGTTGAGCTTTTGTTAACATGATAATTGCGCATGTGTGTGTATGTGTGTGTGTGTGTGTGTGTGTGTGTGTGTGTGTGTGTGTGTGTGTGTGTGTGTGTGTGTGTGTGTGCATGTGTGAATGTGTGTGTGTGCGTGCGTGCGTGCGTGTGTGTGTGTGTGTGTGTGTGTGTGCGTGCGTGCGTGCGTGCGTGCGTGCGTGCGTGCGTGCGTGTGTGCGTGCGTTTTTTTGCATGTGTATGTTTTCCCCGCCCGAGCAGCAGGACAACATCTCGCTGCGGGAAGTGCACGACATGTGCATGCAGTGCCTCAAGGCTCTCGTGCAGAATGAGAACAACCACCAGAAGCTGCTATCGCTCGACTGCATGGCACTACTGGAGGAGGTCAGTACCTCTAGCAACATTCATTACAGCGTCTAGGTTCAGTAAAGTAAAAGTAAAAAAAGTAAATAATCGTGTCCGTTCCCAAAGGGAACTCACGACGGCCGCTAACACCCGGTGAACCCTAGCGGCAGATGCAACGCCTAACGGTGGGGGTGAGTGGATACGTCTCACAACCACTGGCACAAGTGCCGGGAAACCCCATTGGCTGCATACATGTTCCCCCAGTTGTCTGTTATGTGGGTTGCAGCGCGGCTGGAAAAACTGCTCCCAGGCAGGACTTAGACCGGGTACCTGTCGTATCTCAATCATGGTCTTTGACCAACCCACTGTGCCTACCTGGTATTGTCTCTAGCATAGGATATATTATAGTTTCAGTGCAGCAACTGTAATGGTTCTGGGTTTCATTCTTATGCCAGTAATGATATTTTTGAACTCGGACACTGAGCCAAAATATTATAAATGTGAAGATAGGAAAGGACACATTTCGGACTGCTCATCGGATACCGAGCCGATATTTTTAGTGGGGGAGGGAAAAGACCCAAATGCCTTTAGTGCTATATGTGGCCTGCTTGTGCGGTAAAACACCTTCAAAGTGTGAGCTTGCAGTAGGGACAGCAGTGTACACTAAAGAATTCTTGTTTCTCTGTTCTCTTTGGCTTGGTCTGTTCATGTGTGATGTTGCGACACGCTAGGCATCCCACATGGACCCGCATATCAATGCCATGGAGAACCTCACCATCGGCGCTGATCCTGCACCCGAGCCGGCAACGCAAGAGCTGAACGAATTGTTCAATTTGGATGGTGGAGCGGATGATTATGGAGACGCGGCTTCCGCTGTGGAGCCGTTTGGAAAGAAGCTAACCGGTAAGGCCGAGTTCAGTGTACGTGTTTCGAACTGAGTCGTGATATTCACCACCAGAACCAAAGCATAGAGTCACATTCAGTCATTGTCACCTTCTTAACACCTGTATTTCATACCTATGTCTTACACCTCATGCCTGTGTTCTACAAGAGGCATGTCAGTGAGGGAAGCTTCCCAAATGCAAGTGATTTATTGAGTGTGAATAAATGTGTAAATCAGTCGAGTTCAGTGTACTACGGTGTCTCTAACTGAATTGCAGCTTGGTTGGGTGGGGGGCTTGGTGATGTCAAAGCGAAAACCGGGCTGATAATAAGAAAAAATTATTGAAAAGAAAAGGACCAAGGAACTACCATATACGCCATAATGTCCGCTAACACCAATACACCAATGTCCGCTAACACCAATACTTGACAATAGTGCTGAAACGATTACGTTTTTTCCTTAGTGGCTTAGCTGATACCATAACGAGCGGCTTATCGGCTAAACGATTATTATTGTAACTACATCAGTACATGTACATTCTGTGAATTCCAAAAAAAATACGAGTCCAACATCGCCAACGACGAAAAGCGGGCGCATAGATCCGATGATCCCGCAACAAGTCCGTCAGCTGTTCGGACTGACCAGACGAATACAGACCAGACAGAGGCAACTCACTGGTTGCAACCCAAGTGCTGATGGTGCCCTTCGCCTGTGACTTCGCTGACTCAGACGATGAAGTCAGAGAAGCCGGCCAGGAGTGCAGACCGGTGGATTTCGACGGATGAGCTGACTTGAGGCGCACCAACAAGTAACTAGTTGCTTTTCCTGTCTATGCTCAAAATAGGCCCAGACGCCAGGCCTAGCTCGTCGTCGAGCAAACTGGTTCGGGAACCGTCGACAGAACGGAAAACATGAAACTGAAGACCACTTTACTGTCTTTAGCTCAAGACTACTCGCACGTGGAGGGAACTCCAGCCCCTGCAGCTAGTGAGTGGTGTAGACACATACCGGTACTGAGCCTGCTCGTCCTGCATGCTGTATGGAAAGTAGATCTACGTAGTCAGCTCAAAAGACGGCGACGATGATCGCGTCGATGTTTCACAGATCGCGCTTGTGCTTTTACACGTACATCGATGTTGCAAGTGTACATGGTGTACAGTCATGTACATATTCATGTCGTACTCGCAACAGTTTCGATGCATGCACGCTTTGTGCGACCCCCAAAGGGGGGAAATCCCGTGCCGAGCGTGAGTACCATTCTACTCGTTTAGCCGATAAAATCGAAATAACCGTTCGATCTATTTCTTATCGAGTAAGTAACGAGTAATCGATATAATCGTTTCAGCACTACTTGACAATCAGCTCATGTGATAACATTGCACGGCACTGACCAACGGTACTGACCAACGGTACTGACCAACGGTACTGACCAACGGTACTGACATTGTCCTATGTTATTACTATAACTTGGAAGCTTCCAAGTTGGAAGGCTGTAGGCTGTAGGAGTGTGCATCCAAGATGTGCTACAGCTGATTCGCAGCTAGTTGTAGAACGTCAGTGCCGTTGGTCCGTATCGTGCAATGTTATCGCATGTGCTGATTGTCAAGTAACTGGTGGTGTTAGTGGACATTATAGCGTAACTTGTAGTTCCTTGGTCCTTTTCTTCTCTATAAATTTATCCTTGGCTCTCCATCCGAGACTGATGGTGGAGCGGAATGTATGCGGTGACTGTGCGTTTAGTTGGAAGATGACCTTGACGACCTGGGCCCGTCGGGGTGTGTCTGTGCGTGTGCGTGTATGTTTGCCTGTGCGTGCGTGCCTGCCTGCCCGTATGCATTTGATGCACGTAACAGATGAGGTGGGACTTGCCCTGTTGAGTGGCAACCCAGCGATGGCGGAGGACTACTTGAATCTTGGTGGAGAGGATTTCGACGCACTGCACAGCGGTATGGCTAACTTCACACAGTCCGGAGGTGAGCAAGAAAAGTCTTCGAATCGAGAATAGTTTTGGGACTGCTGTGAGGCCAATCGTAATAACGAATATTTCAGAATAAAAAGATCCTGAGCTTTTGTTTTCGTTTTTCTTCAAGATGGATCTTCGGATCAAGACTCATAGTTTTGGGGCTTCTTTATTAAAGGCCAGTCGAAATAATGAACATTTCAAAACTAAAGGATCCTGAGCTTTGCTTACGGAAAGAGAATGTGGTGTCTTTGCAATTAATAAATTTATTTATTTCACCTTCCCGTGGCCAGAGAATATAGACCAATATAGAGGGAGAATTGTTTGTTGTGCTCCTCGTAAAGGTGTCAAGAATGTTTTATACTTCAAGGTAGTTAATGTTACATATACTTCAAGGTAGTTTACTCAGTTTGTTGTTCTTGTCTTTTCTGTATTCACATTTTTCTTCGAAAGTGTGTGCTACTATAAAACTCGATAGATTGCCACCTTGTCACGAGTGTTGTTATTTTGATCTTTACACTATACAAGTTTCAGTCTTTCCAAAGTGAGCCATTTCCTGTCCTATCCTTGATGATAAGGGAACCAAAACGTTCGATACGATATCATGATGAGAAGTGCCTTGTTGACTGTAGGTGTAAAAGTTGCTTGAATGCTTGTGAACCTAATTTCGTTTTAGGAATTGTTACCAGCCTCTGACCTCTTTTACATTTTAAAATTCTAACGGTTGAAATTCTAACGGTTTATTGTAATTTCGTTAAAACTTGAAGTTGTTATGTACAAAACGATGTATATGGGAGCGGGACAGGTATAAATCACATGTCCCCCCCCCCCCCTCCCAAATGGGCGAAGTGGAAAGTTTCTCTTGAAAACCCTGCCTATGCTATTGAAAAACACAGTGAACACAAAAAAACGGCTGAAAATCCTTGAAAACCCACTAACGAGGCCCATTTAGCAAGCTCTATCCATGCAAAGAGTATGTGGACCCCACACGTTGGGGCCCTTTTCTCGTAAGTTTGGAAAAGGGGCAACACATGATTTCTACCCGTCCCGCTCCCACATGTACAGTCACGCTGGTTTTGATAGACAGAATGTGTTAGCATTTCACATCACTAACCCAGCAAAATCGGGAGACCGACAACCGTAATTGACGTTAGAATAGCTGGTGGAAGTAGTTGGGTGGATACACCCATTCCCAAAGCACTGCACACCGAACCAATTAGTTTTATACCAAAGGCCTACCGCCGAAACAGCATAATATAACGCAAAAAGAATAATAGTATAGTGACGTCAGTGGCCGAGGTGTAGGTGAGACATTTAGCGCCAGCACCAAAACAATCATACCGTGAGAACTAAATCCTATCGCCAAACACAGCATGATCTGGCGCCATAAGAATACCAGATACAGCGAGTTGAGCTTCAAAGGTGCAGGTAAGATATTCACCACCAGAACCAAAGCATAGGGTCACATTCAGTTGCTGTCACCTTCCTAATACCTGTATTTCACACCTATGCTAGAGGCATGTCAGTGAGGAAAGCTTCCCAAGTGTAAGTGATTTATTCAGTATGCAACGTATGCATGAACATGATAGCAAATGGCGGTGCCAAGTTGTTGGCCATAGCTACGCCGTCAACTCGGTGATAGACTTGGTTTCCAAACCGAAAATAGTTGTGGCTTAGTACAAACAACAGTAGATTCCGCACCTCACCCACCGACAGGCCAAACATGTTGATTGGCGGGGAATGTTGTTCCAGCATGTCTCCTACCACCTTGACACAGCCGTTATCACTGAATAAATCACTTGCACATTTGGGAAGCTTCCCTCACTGACATGCCTCTGGCAGAACGCAGGCACGAGGTGACTGAATAAATCACTTGCACATTTGGGAAGCTTCCCTCACTGACATGCCTCTGGCAGAACGCAGGCACGAGGTGTAAGACATCATGATGTGAAATATAGGTGTTAGGAAGGTGACAATAACTGAATGTGACACTATGCTTTGGTTCTGGTGGTGAATATCTCACCTACGCCTTTGAAGCTCAACTCGCTGTATCTATTATTCTTATGGCGCCAGATCATGCTGTATTTGGCGGTAGGATTTAGTTCTCACGATACGTTTCGTGCTGGTGCTAAATGTCTCACCTACACCTCTGTCACTGAAGTTGCTGTATTCTATTATTCTCATTGCGCAAGATTATGCTGTTTCGGCAGTAGGACTTTGGCATAAAACTGCTCATTTTATGCCTGCATTGCATCATTGTTTAATTCGTACCTGAGGATGGCGATATTGCTGAAACGTTGTATGTAAAATAATCGGTTCGGTTTGCAGTGCTTTGGGAATGGGTGTGTCCACCCAACTACTTTCTAAAGCTGAAGCTGCAGCTGCCTCAAAGTTAATTCTCAAAAATATCTGGTCTTACAGTAATTCTTAATTTCCACTACATTTTGTAGTGTATTTTGGCGAGTACTGGCCGAGGTGTGGTGTGGTTTGCGTGCCTTAAAAACACGACGATATACGGCCAACGGCTTGCACTGACGTGGCGCGTATCCCAGGCACACAGGCAGTAATACTCGTTGATAAGTTATAACTAGTACGCCGAGCTGAATTTGAAAGAATATGCTATGTGTGATAGGGCTTTGCAGCGCTGTCTACTTGAAACACGCAGCGAGCGTTCTGATCTGCTGTTGATGCTCCTTAATCACGCTGTCTGTTAAGCTGTGTTTACACAATGCCGTAAAAGTCCGTAAGTACGTACTTACTTTCGAAGTTAGTGATCACACCCGTACTAACTTTCGGACGGGTACTGACTTTCGGGCACGAGCTAACTTTCGGACCTGAATTGTGTGTAGTGGAGAAATCATTTTTTATGTAGATGTACATGCTAAGCGCTGCATCTGCAAACCGTACTGGTACTTATTTCGGGCGGTATGTTTATCGGGCTGAACTAGACTTCAACAGACAGAGTCAAAATGATGAAGAGGTATTTATTTCGGGCAGGTACTTATTTTACGGACTTTTACGGTAGTTTTATAACCACTCCATGTCTACATGGAGAAATCTTGTACGTGGCTAGGGTGCTCGGATGAAAGGCAAGTTATGAACTTCGTGTGTAATTTTGCGTGTGTGCATGCGTGCGTGTGTCAATGTGTGTGTGTGTGTGTCAATTCTTCAGCCTTGCAAGCTGTTGAATGGTGTAATCCCAGCACAAGTTGCTATGGCTTCTGCCGTAGCATTGCTATCATCGCCTCCGGCGATGGGCGTCAAAGGTCAAAGGTCAAAGGTGTGTGTGTCTATGTGTGTGTGTGTGTGTGTGTGTGTGTGTGTGTGTGTGTGTGTGTGTGTGTGTGTGTGTGTGTGTGTGTGTGTGCATGTATGTGTGCGTGTGTGTGTGTGTTTGTGTGTATGTCTGCGTGTGTTCATGCACCTGCGTATGTGAACGGATGCGCACTGTCTGTGTATTCACACACGCCCATCCCGTACAGATCTAGGCGATATTGGTGAGCTCCTGGCCATCACCAGCCTGCCAAGTCCAGGCGCACAGTCGGCTTCTTCCGACGCATCCAACACATCCGGATTCGGTAGCAGCACGTCCTTTGGGGCCGGTGGTCTGTCAACATGAATGACAAACAGACCTGACCCCCAAATGATGGACCAACAAGAGCCCTCCCCCCCCCCCCCCCCCCCGAGGTAAAGCCCTCAGCCCTCGGTCCTGTCACTTCGGCATGCATCCCGCCGCCGTCAAGAACTGCTCACCCGTCCATGGCAATCGGATTTCGCCGGCAAGTTTAAGATTCGCATCGGCGGCAGCAGCAACACTGGCGGATCAGCTGTTGCAGCGTTTGTGGAGTACTGCGGTAACAGCGTGCTGGCACTGCCTTGCCCGCCACAAGTTGAAGAGAGAATCGTATATAGTGCCACCGCAAGGCTACGCACACACTCCTTGAGCATGGCTATGGAAGGAGCCATTACTTTGAATTTCGCCTTATCATCAGTTTGCATCTGCTTCTGCTGGTTAACGTCAAATTGTCTTGAAATGCGCGCTGCGCGCGCGCGTGTGTGTGTGTGTGTTTGTGTGTGAGTGAGAGAAAGAGAGAGGTGTGTGTGGGCATATATGTGTGTGTGTGTGTGTGCACGCGTTCGTGTTTGAGTGTGTGTGCGTGTGTGTGTGCAAATTGGCCACACCGTCTTCGTTTGCTGCCCTATCAAGGCTGGTGTTGTATATATATACGAGAGTACATTAAGTATAATTATGATTTACCTGGTGTACCGCCACTACAAGAACTATCATGTGTGACATACCCGAGTACCAGTCAGCGGCCATTTGCAAGAATTTCGCCTGCTCACGACACGCTCATTCGTAGCTTTTTCCGCTATCCTGTTCACGATTCTCACCTGCCGTGAATACACCCTCGGTATTGTCGTTGGTGCGTACACGGAGAGCCGTCGTTGCATTAGAGTTCCAGCCATGCATTAGTGCATTAGTGCCATGGCTGCAGAGTGCGCAGTACATACCGCTAACATACGCGCGTGTGCTGTTTTTTTTTTAGTTGCCCCGTAGTCAGCCCCCTCCAATACATCCAGCACGTCCCCATTTCGGCACCAGTGCTTCGTTTGAGGCCGGCCGCTGTCAACAATGTCAATGACAAGTGCCCTGACCGAATGATGGACGGACAAGAGCCCCCCCCCCCCAGCTAAAGCCCTCGGTCCTGCCACATCCGCCATATGCGTCCTGGCGTCAAATGCCCGGGACCTTTCCACGGCAACAGGGAATATGCCGGGAAATTTGAGCTTCGCAGGTATGGCTGACTTTCGCCGATCCACGTTGATTGGTAACTCTCCGCCACAGGATGTGGATGTGCAGATCACCATAGCAACCAAGCACGACTTTCTCCGCTACCCTGGAAGCCATTAGCTCATTTTTTACTCAATCTGCTTCATGTTATGCATTGTATTGGTGCTGCTTCCCTCGTGCACACACATACACACACACAAGTACATACACACATACACACACATACACACACATGCACACACACGCACACATACATACACACACATACACGCATACATACACACACCCAAACACACACACTCCGTAGAACCCATCAATATCCTTACTTTGCCTGATGATTTGATTTCCCTGGTGATTTCACTGATATGAACATGGAAAAGCTTGTTCCGCTGTCTGTTGGTGTAGTGTGCATTGACGTTGCTGGTGCACTTGTGTCAGGCACAACTATTTTTGTGGACACAACCTTCATGAATGTGTATGTGTGTGTGTGTGTGTGTGTGTGTGTGTGTGTGTGTGTGTGTGTGTGTTAGAGGGGGGGGGGAGAGAGACAGAGACAGAGACAGAGACAGAGAGAGAGAGAGAGAGAGAGAGAGAGAGAGAGAGAGAGAGAGAGAGAGAGAGAGAGAGAGAGAGAGAGAGAGAGAGAGAGAGAGAGAGAGAGAGAGAGAGAAGAGAGAGAGAAAGAGAGGGGGGGAGGGAGGGAGCAGGAGAGAGAGAGAGAGAGAGAGAGAGAGAGAGAGAGAGAGAGAGAGAGAGAGAGAGAGAGAGAGAGAGAGAGAGAGAGAGAGAGAGAGAGAGAGAGAGAGAGAAAGAGAGGGGGGGGAGGGAGGGAGCAGGAGAGAGAGAGAGAGAGAGAGAGAGAGAGAGAGAGAGAGAGAGAGAGAGAGAGAGAGAGAGAGAGAGAGAAAGAGAGGGGGGGAGGGAGGGAGCAGGAGAGAGAGAGAGAGAGAGAGAGAGAGAGAGAGAGAGAGAGAGAGAGAGAGAGAGAGAGAGAGAGAGAGAGAGAGAGAGAGAGAGAGAGAAAGAGAGGGGGGGGGAGGGAGGGAGCAGGAGAGAGAGAGAGAGAGAGAGAGAGAGAGAGAGAGAGAGAGAGAGAGAGAGAGAGAGAGAGAGAGAGAGAGAGAGAGAGAGAGAGAGAGAGAGAGAGAGAGAGAGAGAGAGAGAGGGGGGGAGGGGAGCAGGAGAGGGAGGGAGAGAGAGTGTGAGGGAGAGAGTGAGAGGGGGGGGGAAGAGAGAGAGAGAGAGAGAGAGAGAGAGAGAGAGAGAGAGAGAGAGAGAGAGGGGGGGGGGGGAGGGAGATAGAACGAAAGACAGAGGACATACAGAGAGAGAGAGGGTGTAGGATGTAGAAGTACATTGTATGTTCAATCTCCGGGTTGTTGTCCTTTTGAAGCGCACTTATACTTGAGTGTTTTTCACATAGTAGCACTGCACTGTTGAATGAAATTGATATCTCTGTAGACCTGGTAGACAGGTTTTGCCAGAATGATCCCTCTCATGCAGAAAATACGCTCTTGAAATATGAACCACATTGTAGTCGTGTAGGTAATTATTTTGATGATGATATCTGTGATGAGGCCAGCACAAAGCGTCTGTTTAACACTGAATCCAGCTTGCCTACTGGGCACCAGGTTGACCAGGCGCACCCACGCAAGGTTATACGGCACTGCTAGCATGGCACAATGGTACGCGTGTTGTCAAAACAGATTATTATTCTAGCAAAGGCAATAGATATCACACGGAGGAACTACAGTGCTGGCAACTGAAATCCGACCCCGCGAGCGGTGCGCTGCCATCGCAAAGACCCAGCTCGGGATGGTAAAACTACGAAACAGAGACCGCTAAAATGTGAACCCACCGCTCAGGCCAGGGGGGACGGATTTCAGTTGCCAGTACTGTAGATAATATACACGTGTACTGGTTAACGCTGAACGACAATACAGATGGAACTGGGCCCCCACAATGACACAGTGTACAGCCCACACATGCGGTACAATGTATAAAAATGACACTGTTATCGTGATGTTACACATGTGGTCAAAATAGCCAGTAGTTAACAAAAATCATTGTTCGCGTGAGTGAATCGGCCGGAGCCGGGCTGTGCTGTACATGCATTTCCGCATGCGCAGGGACACCACCATGCCCAGTGATCAAGGAACACATGCAGCTCCTAAGCTAAGCGGTAGCACAGGTAATGCAACACATGTAACCATGGTAACCGGTATGGGCACAGGCCCTAGCAAAGCGGCGATAGCTGTCACATGAAACGGGCTAGCTAGAGTCGGAACCGGTGACGACATTAGAAATGGACGGAATGGCGGTACCAGTGCACACAGTCATTGAACCATTACAATCACAAACACTAGGCACTGATAGCACTATCCACCATTTTACAGCTAGTCAAGACTTCAGTGCGGCAACTACTTCAAGAAGTAAGTTGTTCCATATGAGAATAGTCCTGAATGCACCAACACCGGGCAAAACTGTCTCGTCATGATAATGCTGACAAGAACGAAAACACTTCCAGCACACAAAACAGAGAGGTTCCAGGCTAGCTTCCTACACACAAGTATGAATAAAAGCCAGGCAAGTCACATTATTTCCATTTTTGCAAAAGTGCTCATGCCTACATAGAATGGAGAACAACAACAACAACAGCAGCAGCAGCAGCAACAGCGACAACATCCATGGAACGAAAAAACATACCCCAACTCTCACACACGCACGCACACACACACACACACACACACGTGTGCGCACATACGCGTGCACACATACACACACATACCTAACAGCTACCATCATCACCAGTCCCATTCTCTCTCTCACTGCTAAATCGTTGGGCAAGCTGCGCACTGTGTTCTTTCTCCTGCTTTCTCAGCAGGGAATCATGCTCTCGCCGTACTCTTGATCGTCGCTCCTCACGATCTTCTCGTTCTCGAACTCGTTTGTCTTGCCGCTCCTCTCTTTCCCTTTCCATCCGGGCATCGTGCTCCATACGTCGCTGCTCCATCCTTTCTTTCCATTTCCGCTGCTCCCGCTCGCGTCGTTCCTCGGATTCAAGCTCCAGTCGCCGTATCGCAATACTAGCATTAGCATTGGCCAGAGCGCTGTATGCACTTTGGTCCGACTGCCTGTCTGCTGGCTCAGATCTTGCTCTCCGTGTCATTTGGTTCGGCATGGTGGCCATATGCGCTGCACTGTCTCCACCGCCATCATCATCATCATCGTTATCATAGTTCTCATCATAAACACTCTGAACCTGGTCACGGTCATCGTCCACGTCAGGTCCTAGTTCAGCTAGATGACTGGTCATGCTGCGTCCAAGGACACTCTGACTTTGAGCTGACTGCGGGGGTGCCGAGGCTGGGGTAGAACACATGGATAGGGTTGATGCAGAACACGCTACCGGTGCTGATGCTGACAGGTGTGCGGATGCAGAAGCAGAAATCGGTGCGGCAGATGAAGCCGAGCGCAGTGCCGCGGTGGAAGCGGAACGTGTTGCCAGGGCGGATGCGGAGCGCGGTGCCAAGACCGGCCGCGACTCGGACACCGAACGCAAGGTCGAAGTGGACCCCGCTGGCGCTGCCGAAGCAGAGACTGAATGCAATGCAGACGTAGTCGACGGACTTGTTGATAACGCCGACGGCCTCGCTGATGCCCTGGCAGATAATGCTGCTGCTGAGGATGACGTGGCTGAGTCTGATAGAGCAGCCAGAGCACACGCTGGGTCGAATGCAAGGGCAAATGATGAGGCAGAGAGCGGAGGCGGGGATGCTGGAGATGGAGATGGCGGAGGCGATGCCACAGACGACAGCACACCATTTGCGGTTGCACACGCAGCGCCAAGCCGTGGGTCTTCCAGGAAGCAGGCATTCCAGATAGCGAAGTTTGCCCACTTTGAGATCGCATACTGCAGAAGATAAATGTACAGCATCGAGAGAGAGAGAAAAAATACGGCCTCTGTGACTTAGTTCACATGATCATATGTGTGTGTGTGTGTGTGTGTGTGTGTGTGTGTGTGTGTGTGTGTGTTTGTCCTTATGTGTCTTTGTGTGTGCGTGTGTGTGAGAGAGAACAAGAGATAGAAAGAGCACGCTTATATCTCTCTTATCTGGACCTCGAAGCCACATGCACCTTAGTCTGCCCGGCACTCTCTGGGAGAGATTTAGTGGAAATATTACTACTCTTTTGATATTTTTGAGTGACGTCATAGTGACGTCATGTACCACATCTCGTGCACGTCCCCACCAAACGTATGTGATTCAGAGTTGGGACAATGAATCCTGCAAAGCTGCTGCTGCTTCCAGCGATACTCACTGTTGTGTATGGGTGTTTGTCTGAAGGCGAACATAACACTTACCGGTATATGTTACTGGCGAAGACTAAACCGTGTCCACAATCTGATCGCCAATGGTGCGTGTGTGTGTGTGCATCTGTGTGTGCGTGTGCATCTGTGTGTGTGTGTGTGTCTCTGGCTCCTTTCGGAGTGGTGTGGCCCTTGTGGCAACCAAGCTACAGTAGTAGTAGTAGTAGTAGTAGTAGTAGTAGTAGTAGTAGTAGTAGTGTGTGTGTGTGTGTGTGTGTGTGTGTGTGTGTGTGTGTGTGTGTGTGTGTGTGTGTGTGTGTGTGGTCAATGCGAGACTCGCTTTACACGGTAATCAAAATCTTTCTTTCCTCCGACAAAAACATGCAAAATACAAAAATGAATGTGTACCATACGTATCCTACAAGTTTGAGAGAAGGAATAGCGTGCGCATATACCGTACTTGCGCGATTTGAGCCCTCTCTTGAATAGTGCTATCTCAAATAGAGCCCCAGTCTCTAAGAGCCAGTGAAAAAATAGAGCGCTCTCTTGGATAGTGCCCCCTCCCCCGGGTTTGTAACCAAGCGCATGTGCACATTTGGCGTTCTTTTGCTAATGTTCTTGTCCATGCCACTCCACTGGTGGTTCAGGATCAAAATCACACTTCTTGTCGCCCTTTCTGTTGAGTCGTTGATAGTTTACAGTTAACTTTAGGCTCTGTTTTTCTTTGCCTTCTTTGCTTTTATGCGGGACAACGTAAAGGTATGAGCATTGAAACAATAGAGCCCTCCCTTGAATAGTGCCCTCTCTTCAACAGTGCCCCTCTTTTGCATAGTGACCCCCATCTGTGATGGACATTGAAAAAATAGTGCCCCACGGCACTAATCCAGCGAGTACCGCAATAGTCCATCGGCCAAATCTCAGAAAGAGCCTCTTTCGGCGAAGGTGATGCACTGAAGCTCCAACTAAACGCCCTTTGGCACACTAGCTCATGAGACCCCATAGAATACGAATCCGTTTGTTGGACGTTGCCAATCCAGTCCAGGATAGTCGAACTGGGTCGAATACCTTCTTCCGATTTTCGTAATTTCGTCCACCATTACATCTTTCTCCTCGACTTTTTTTTCGCTTGGCGAATGTTCTTGAGCCGCTGAGCAGAATCTACGCACGCTCGAACACTTGAAATGCCTGCATGTTGACGGTTCGCAAGATTCTAGCGAGCTTGGTGGAAATCTATTATTTATTTTGACATTTTTGGGGGAATCTGAATTAGAACAGTAGAAGCTCATTCGGAGAAGACGGCGTGTCGCCGCTGTCGGATTGTCGCTACTGTGTTTCAGATGTATTTGCTTGAACGTGCTATTGAGGATGGACAGAAGATGAAGTGACGGCTTTCTTGAACACGGACGTTGTGTCTACATTGTAGCTGAAACATCTCATCTGGCGTCTAGAACGCAATTATTATGAGTTGTGAGTGCCAGCTGAGCTGAACACAAGCTGGACACCATTCGTCAGCTGGGAATTTGCATCGAAGCTCTTGATAGCCACGATAAGCATAATTATACAGAGGTAACCTTGTTTGACTCAATACGCATGCAGGTGATACCACTAGTGGCACTACAATGTAAATGGTGCAAAATTGATGCAACAGCGAATATGTACTTCGTACAATCACGAACAATTGTAAGGCAAGTGTTCATGCCTGTCATAGAAGAATTTCAGCCCGGAAGTCTTGTTGTCATGGTCATAAATAATACAGGACTTGAGTTGGCTCTGGACATAAAAACACTTGTGGTGAATACGGTCATTATTGCGAGAAAAATATTTAGCCACTGTATGTTAACTGATGCCGCACTACACGCAATATTTCATGTACATGTGTGTGAGACTCAATTGCATCCACAAGGCCGTAGATGCATGTAAGCACACAATGCTGCACAGTATAAGTAGTAGTCGACATGTGGTGTCTTCCTGCTGCACATGCACATGCGGCAAGTTGGCAACGACACATGACCTATCTGCACCGCACAGCGTGAGCTTAGAAAGGAATATTGCACACATAGTGCTATTTGTGTTCCGATATCGTTAAGCCGGTATACATGTAGTATCCTTATACATGTACCTGGTCACTCGATAGGCGATGCCGACTGTACTAATCTTATCCATATTACCCGATAGGCTATAGCACACTGCGTCAGATCACTATGCAACAAAACAAGAGCTTTGGAGCGAATATACACTGAAGCAAAGTAGGTTTCAACGGTACAGCACTAGTCACGATGAGGGGAGTTACGAGGATGGTTAGGCCGTGACACATAGATGATGATTGTTAATGATTCATGCACGGTGGAAAATTACCACCAATGGCGATCATATTGCTTTCACAACAATGACATCAGTAGGAGCAGTGACACAACCTTATTGCTCCAAGTAGGATTTACAAGCGAGTGAAGGGAGAGCAGACTGGGTCTAAGCAAGGAAGTAATCGGCATCAGAGGTGAGCTTGCACATCAGAAAACAGATGATGATCACCAAACACAGAAAAGTTGGCTATGTGTATGTTTGTGTCACTGTGTGTGCATGTGTGTGTGTGTGTGTGTGTATGCGCGCACATCTGTGTGTGAAAGAGAGGCAGACAGACAGATAGCATATGGTGGGAGGGATCAAGGTCTGACCTCAGAGTTAAATGCTGACGGTGTGGAATAGCAACAGTGCGAAATCGGGCAGGGTGGTTAATGGCCCACACTGGAGCCGAGTAGGAGCGCCAGTGGTTGAGGGCTAGCACAGGAGTAGCAGCAGCTCCAGCCTAGGAAGATCAGCTTCTGGATGAAAATCTCCCAGACACAGTAGGTACCAAGCTTCACTAGCAGATTGCCGGCAGGGGTGCACGGCGAGCACCCGTACATCCCTCAAGCCACCAGAGCCGCAGTACTTGGACACGATCCAGGTGCTTACCCGCCAACAATGCTGAGAAGGCACTGGAGCCATACAGGAACTTATGATCGAGCATGACCACAGACTTGAAATACAGGGTCCGGCGTTGAATACTGAGACAGCGACGTCTCCTCCAAAGAACACCACTCAGCCCCACCATTGCATTATTTTCGCTTTTTCATGATTTTTACAATTGTGTTAGAGCACACAGCACTCGATGCAACATTTACCAGTGACTAAATAACTCCGCGTCTCCGACCATAACTGCAGCGTTCCCGTGAGCCTGTTGGATTTCTGTCAGCCTGTTGAGATTATCTTCATCTCGTCACATGTGAGCCTGTGTGTTTCATCCGTATCGTGGCACAATTACACAGACACGATTTCCAACTCAGGCCGGTTCCGTTGCTCGAAGGGTTGGCGGTAAGAATTGCTACGCCGTCTGTGGCTGCATGGGAACTTGGCGAGTCGTCGTCTTTCTCCATAAATCCTGATCGTCACGCGAACAACAGCCACTATTGTCTAAAAACTACGACACAACAGTATCAAGCTCGCCCCAGCAGAAGGACACGAATAACGAGCGCTAAGACGGAGAAAGAGAGACAGGGTTAGCGAGAGCTGACTAGTGCAGGTACGCTGTCACCTCCTGAGGTGGTGGGCGAAGCAGCGAATTGAAACGAAGGAAGATAGAACTTATTAGAAGGCATACGGAGGCACCAAAACCTATTGCCTGTCACATACTAAGTGCCATTTAGGGTTGACAGCTGTCAGCTGACAGCCTCAAAAATTTGAAAATCTGCTCAAAAAACTCTCGATCAGAACTCTGCGCACTCTCAAATGGAGCGCACAGTAAAAAACTCGGCGACGAAGAACGCTTCGTATCGACGCCCTGGACTGAATTCGGCACGTCCAACAAACGGAATAGTGTTTTCTGATATATTCTCTACGTGCTGGGTATGGTCGCGTTTAGTTGGAAGCTCAGTGCATCACCACTTTCGATTTTGAGACTTGGCCGATGGACTACAAGCAAAATAATGAAATCACAGAAGTGACAGAACTAATGACGTAATGTATAATTATGACTATTGTTGTAGTACATAATTATTATTGTTGTCTTGTCTCACCTTCAAGTCTTGAGGGTCGATGACCAGTTTTCCTGTTTGCTCTCTGATTCTCATTTTTTCGTACGTCAACTTCGCCTTTTTCTTCATAGTGTCCAGCTTATGCTTGCAGTTGTCCATCGATAGCTTGGGCCATCGCTTCTCCTTGCAAATCTCATTCATTTGCGTGCACGCAAGCTGCAAGTTGTATTCTCGAGTCCGCGCCTGCCCGGCCTCACTCGCCTCATTTAGCACCATGTGCCAAATGCTCATGAATTTACCCTCCATCTCTTCCGTGAAAAGCCTCACCGGCATGATCGCGGCCAAACGTTGTCACAAAACGATACGAAGAAAACGTCTCCCGTCCGGGCACTGGCCTGGGAAATACGCGTTTCTTGTTCGCACGGTTCATTCGTATCCCGTGCCCGTCAAGAGTGATAAAGGAAAACGCGCGGCTAACTAGCTGTAGTCTAGATCTACGTCTTGTAGCTAGCAGTGCTATCGACTGTAGTCAGTGTAGACACTAGTAGTAGTCGAGTCTATGACTGAGACTGTAGTCCCTGACTGTGCGTCGTGCATGCTGCGGCAGTGCGATCTGGTCGCTAGACTAGACGCTAGCAGCTAGCAGGTTTATTATGTGTAGGGCTCCCTGGACGCTAGTCAATGATCCACGGCGCGGCGGCGGCATTCGTGCGATCGATCGATATGAAGGATTTCTAGCAGAAATCTTTTATTTTGGTCACGTGATTGAAGTCGCTACCGCCACATACTACTACGTCACTACTACGTGTATTGTCATGTCGCCGCACATTTGAATGGCGCTCGTTCAACAAAATTTTTAGATTGCAGGATACCGGATGAAGCAGTGTTTGAGTTAGTGTTGCTGTTAGTAGATTCCGTCCTTGCCCTGGCGAACTGTTCGACGCCATGCCGCCACGGATATTCTCGAGAGACATGGAGGTCAACTTCATCAACATCTGCCACATGGTGTTCGAGGTGAGCGGCGGACAATCGCGGACTCGAGATCATAAGCTGCAAATCGCGTGCACGCTAATGAACGACATGTGCAAGGAGAGAAATTGGCCCAGACTCTCGCTGGTCAACTGCAGGCACAAGCTGGACTCGCTGAGGAAGAAGGCGAAGCACCTGTACGCCGCTATGAGAATTGGAAGCCAATCAGGAAAATGCGTCGTCGACCCTGAAGAAGTGAAGGTGAGAGAACAAAAGAATGTTTTTTAATAGTTTGTTTTTTCACGCACTTGTGCACATGCACAGCTGTACCCACATCGTCTAGAGAGATCTTGGACAGGGAAGGGGTTGACGTCGACATGAGATAGGAGGCAAGGGGGCGCGGGATGGGGTCTGTGAGGCTCATCCGAACACTGGTCCACCGAGTCTTAGTCGGGAAAGCACATATGGCCCGATATCTGAGACTTTCGACCTTCGGGGCTACGCGTTTTTTTTGAGAAAACACTAAAAACAAATTTGTTCGCAAAAAATCGATTCCGTCAAAGCAAAGTGCAGAGACGACAATGGCGGAAGAAAATTGAAGGCGATTCTTGTGTCAGTTGGTTATTGGGCTCACGGAGCACAGCAGCCGCGATCCCATGGACGGTGATGCATCGTTCTTTGTGGATATCCTGTCAAGCGGCGACAGCGCTTCTAGTTCTGAGAGCGCATGTTAGGCGAATCGATCGCAAGTGACACGCGGTACTTACCTGTCGGGGGCGACGATGATGAGGACTTGGCCTGGATGAGAATGATCAAGGCCTACCACAGTCTGCCTCAGCGATAGCTGCTACAGCTCCTGGCAAGGACAACCAGGTGGATTCCTGAGGGTACGCCGCTTGCAAGGTCGCTGGGCGCCCTTGCCCGAGTGGCAGAACTGTTTCCTGAGTGTCACGCCAGACCTGCTAAAACAGCACGAAATGATGCGAGTTTTCTTTGCGACGATGATCCTAAAATGTTTTGGATGGCAAGCTCGATACTCGAGCTAATAATGGCGAATCAGACCATCACGGAGCACATGAGGCTGGGCAATCTCCAGTAACATTCAGTTACTTTTGAGTTGGTGGTGTGAAACGCTTGTCAGGCTGTGTTACTGATGTTTGGAAATGGTCAGTCTCCACAAAGTGCAACAAGGCGAATCTGGACGCATTTGCTCTGTTTGACTCCTTCACAATAAGTATGTGAATGCTGTTACATGTATCATGGTGTTCCGTCACAATCTGTTGCAGACAATCCTGTCAAGCATGTCCATCACCAGGAGAACAGATAAATCACCTCTCCTTCTAATGCTGCTATTGCTGCTGTTGCAACTACACAACCTCAATAAAGTCACGGAATGCTGGAAATGAAGTACCTGAACAGTCAAAACACTTTACCATAGTATATTAGCTGGCTATTGATATCACATGGAAACAATTTTTGGTGGCTCCAAACACACTGATCTTTCAAAATTGTAAAAAAGAACAATTCATTAACATGACTCCTGGCTGTAAAATGCATTTCTACATGGTCAATATTGGTCTGATGGCCGTGAAACGAAGTCACAATACTCTACAAAGGCAAGACATCAATTTGCAATAAAAAAATCAATTTCACCAAAACAGCCCCGAAGGTCGATTTTCTCAGATATTGGGCCATATGCGGGAGAAAGGACGGAATTGGTGAGTTAGCAGAGTCCGGAGTGGTTGACGAAGAAGAAGATAGAGCATTGGCATAATTTAGCCATAGGCTTACGTGTAGCCTAGCGTTGAAACTCAAAGACTGCCACAATCCCATACTCAATGAGACAAAAATCGTTAAAAAGAAGTAGGGCTGAAACGATCATTCAATAGCTCCTAACGATCAACCAATATCATTAACGATCGATATATTGGTTTTATAGATTCTTGTCGGCTCTACTCGCGTACCTCGTATACCAGTTTATGAGGAAATTCCATGATCCCTTTGCTACTTTAGAAATTTGTGGCACCGCACTGTTGACATCTGTGGAAATCTGGCTGGTATTATCAACATGAACTAGAGAATTTCATGTTGTTGCTAGAGCAAAGAATCTTGTCATCACCCTCTGGGAAGCTCTTATCTCCGACCTCTCACACAAATGAACCAAGCAGACAAAGTATTCTCTCCCGATCTCTTTCAAAGTCACAAATCAAACTTACCGCGCTTGATAGTACTCGTATTCACTATCGGATGGAGTGCAAGGGCTAGAATACTGTCACTGATATGCAGGCATAATAAATCGTTAGCACTCGTTTTGAACGCTAACGATTATCGATTGCACTCTTAACGATCGATATGCGAGTTATCGGTATAATTGTTCCAGCCCTAAAAAGAAATCACCTGTTCAAAAAAATTAAATTCACGGCTCGCGTGAGACTTGGCGGCCAAGGTTACCGCATCCCTAGGAAATGGTGAAGTAGAGTAAAATATTGCAGAATGTGCAGTTATTGGTAGACGTGCTAGGAACAGGCAGGAAAATACGAAGAGGTTAAATACTAGTGTTGAAACGATCTCACCGGATACTCGTTAGCTCGCTCGCCAGAAACTCGGCTCGTTTGTGCGGCCAGCTCGTTTGCACTAACGAACACCGTACTCCGTACACATGGCAGTACATGTCGACCGGGGAGTCGTAAAAATATTTTATGACTCCCTGGTGGATCGAGAGTCCAGTCCCTCGCAAAGTGAAAATCACTCGCAGTTACAGGTGACTGTATGCCTGCACGACACTTGAGTTGTTTCAGTTGTCGTGGCAGCTTTGGTGGACTCTACTGATGTCTTGTTCCGCATCTGCTGACCTGTCGCAGGATATGCTTCAGTCACCTCTCCATTCGAGTGAAAGTTACGCTCAGTCGTTTGGAAGTTTTCTCCCGCGATGCAGCGAAGACCAGGGCTACTTGCAATCTTTGCAAAACGGTCTATTATTACAAAGGCTAATCCACGACCGCGCTGAAAAGACATCTCGACACCAAACAGCAGTCCGAAGTGAAGCAGCAGCAAACCCAAAAGCCGGCGGTGATAATTTGAACCAGCTGAAAAAAATCGAACTTAGAAAAAAAATTATTCAAAAAAATAATCATATTTGCCACATCAATGAAACTCGTGAGATCGCTCGATAGCTTGCTCGTTAGTGGAACTGATCGCTCGTTTGTTATAGGTACGCTCGTTTCAACACTATTAAATACCTCGCTGGTTGTTGTTAGTATGTGTACTAGTGATTGCGCAGTCTGAAATATTTTACTCTTTTAAACACGGACAAGGTAGGTAATAGGGCCAGCATTTATTGGGGGAAAATAGAGAGAAAGAGAAACGAAAGACTACATTGTGACAACAAGAGAGAGAGAGAGAGAGAGAGAAGAGAGAGAGAGAGAGAGAGAGAGAGAGAGAGAGAGAGAGAGAGAGAGAGGAGAGAGAGAGAGAGAGAGAGAGAGAGAGAGAGAGAGAGAGAGAGAGAGAGAGAGAGAGAGAGAGAGAGAGAGAGAGAGAGAGAGAGACAGAGAGAGACAGAGAGAGAGACAGAGAGAGACAGAGAGAGACAGAGAGAGACAGAGAGAGACAGAGAGAGACAGAGAGAGAGTGAGAGAGAGAGAGAGAGAGAGAGAGAAAGAGAGAGAGAGAGAGTGAGTGAGTGAGTGAGTGAGTGAGAAAGAGAGAGAGAGAAAGGGAGGGTAAGAGAGTGTGTGTGTGTGTGTGTGTGTGTGTGAGAGAGAGAGAGAGAGAGAGAGAGAGAGAGAGAGAGAGAGAGAGAGAGAGAGAGAGAGAGAGAGAGAGAGAGACAGAGAGAGAGAGACAGAGAGAGACAGAGAGAGAGACAGAGAGAGACAGAGAGGGAGAGAGTGCTAGATGAAGGGCCAGGGCAGTAGCTATGGCAAATATGGGTGCGCCCGTAACTACCTAGACCAGTGGAACAAAAGGTGCCATATGTGGCGGGGGGGGGGGGGGGGGTGGGTGGGGGCGGGGGGGGGGGGGGGGGGGGGGGGGGGGGTACATCGGGCGGCAGGCAGTTCCAGTACACATTGCCAACACACTGAATTGTGGATCTGACTGAAGGACCAGGTAAAACGGTACTGTCAGTAGACGGGAAGCCTGACCACTCTTTGCGTGACCGTTGACCAAATCAATGAAAGTGTAGAAAAATGCTGATCACTTCAAGACATCTGTGAAAAAGAATAATGATTTCTGTTGAGTATTAGAGAGAGAGAAAAATCAAGGCAGAAGAGGAGAGGACGGGGTGGTAGACACACATACACACCTTGAACGTGCCCATTGCCGATGGCAATGATAGCGAAGGGACTATCCGCTAGCTTTGCAGTACGGAGCGTGGCGCTTGAGGTCCCCGGGACGACGGCAGACCTTTCCACATGCGCAGCGGAAGCCAGAGTCAGGATCAGGAGGAGCACGGGCGGGAGGACGACGATGAGCAATCTGCCTCCAGGCAGAGCGATCATGGGCAGCATCAAACCAGCAGTCAGAAGGCACTGGGGGGCTGATGGAGCGGAGATCATCCACGATGATGTCACGCCACCGCTTGCGTGGACCATGGCGAGGGCGTGTTGCAGGGAGCTCCCCAAACAAAACTCGCTTCGGCATGCGGTCGTCGTTCATCCGGCCAACATGGCCAAGCCAACGCAGTCGATATTCCCGGATGATGTCCGCGACGTCACAGTCAATGCCGAGGGTTCGGGCCATGGTAACCGAGGTGACGCGGTTGTCCCACTGGTCCCACCTGGATACGCCAACGATGATGCGAACACACTGGTGATGAAAGGTGTTGAGAGAGCGCAGGTCCGGTGCTTTCGGCGTCCACGTCTCTTCTCCGTACAGGAGGGTCGTCAGCACAAGGGCGATGTACACGCGGTGCCGACAGCGGAGAGATAACGACCGATTCTCAAACACCGGGACACGGAGACTGCCGAACACACGCGAAGCCTTGGCGAGACGGGACTGAACATCATGCGAAGACTGCCCGTCCCGATGGATGACGCTGCCAAGGTACGTAACACTGTCAACGGCCTCGATGGTGCTCGCACCAAGAGACACCGGCTCATTCATGGGCGATTTGACAGTCATGCATTTGGTCTTCAATAGACTGACCGTGAGGCCCCACCGCGCCGCGCCGCACACGAAATGAACAATTCCGTGCACCGATCAAAAATCGGCTTGGTGGTGGCATACACTGCAGCATCGTCCGCAAACTGGGACTCTGTGACGACATCACGTTGCAGGCGGGACTTGGCAGTGCGGTCTCCAACCAACTTTCGGCCAACTCGGTAGTGCAGCTCAACACCAGCGTCCGGGCACATGGAGCGCCAATACCCAACGACTGCAGAGAAATACAAGTTAAACAAGACGGGTGCCAAAGTACAACCCTGACGCAGACCGTTGTTGACGTTAATGGCAGCAGTGACACCGCCCTCGATGCGGACCTTCACCTCCATCGACTCATGCAAGGACTTGATGATACTGAGCATCCTTGGGGGAACACCAAACCTCTGGAGCAAACACCACAGCGCTGGACGGGGGATCGAGTCGTATGCCTTTCGCAAATCGACAAGAGAGCATACAACGGCGAGTCATGTTCGTAAGATTTCTCAATCAATTGCCTGGCAACAAAGATCATGTCTGCACACCCTCTGCCCTTGCGAAAACCAGACTGTGACTCGGGAAGCATCTTCTCCGAGATTGTCTGCAGCCGGTTCTGAAGAATCCGCGCAAACAACTTCCCAACAACATCCAAAAGGCTGATACCCCTCCAGTTATCACAAACTTTCAAGTTGCCTTTCTTAGGTATTGGAACAACGATGGCATCCCGCCACTCAGCGACAACCGATGCCTCATCCAACACCTAATGCATGAGCTCTGAACCAGACGATCATGGAGCTCCTCACCACCCGAGATAATCATTTCGGAAGGATACCTGATCAGTGGCCCGCACACACACACGCACGCACGCACGCACCCCCCCCCCCCCGCACACACACATGTGCACACACACACATACACATACACACAACTTTCCTGTCGTGTAGAGCCACTACCACTAGGGTCACTGGCAAGAGCAGGTACATATATGCGGGAACTTGTCCCGTTCTCTAGCTGTTGAACGGTGACAGCGCCTTGAACAACGGTCTCGGTTGCGTCCCTGGGCTGAGCAGAAACAACGATTGAAGATGTCCCAGTGAGCACCGCAGCAACTTCGAGCGGTAGTATCAACGGTGGCAACAGCAGTTGATGCGATTGGTGCTGGGCATGAGGTAGAAGCGGAGCAATGATGCACAGCCAAGTCACCGTGGCTCCGGAACCACAGTAACGCCGAGGGCACTGACATGCACCTCTCTGCTCTGAAACCGGCTTCAGCCGTGTACACTTGTGCCTGGCAAGGTTGCCCTGACGTGCGAAGTGCCGGGCGTATGTGTAGCAAGTCACCGGTGCTGGTACGGGGGATCTGGGGCGTCCGAGGTGTAAGCCAACCTCCAGTCTGGGCGAGAGTCACAGACCGCTCTGTACCTGTCCGCTTCAAGGTCTCGCGAGTGGAGGTCCTTCCCAGTACAGTCTTTCCACCGCCGACGTGGGCCATGTGCCGGGCGACGAGATGGCAGGGCGCCGAACAGCAACTGCTTGGGTAATCGGACGTCGACCATGCTGGCGACATGGCCCAGCCACTTGAGACAACTCACCATTTGTGGTAGCTGAACTCGAAACCAACGCCAGAAATTCCTTTAACCCTCTGTTGCCACTTGATGACGACTACCCACATGAAGATGTTGAAGAGGGCAGAAGCCATAGGGCAGCCTTGCCGCAAGCCGTTGGTGACGCTAAACGGATCCACGTCTGTGCCACTCACGCGCCATACTGCAGACATCTCATGATGGGAAGATCAGGTGACTGCAAGCATGGGGGAGGGACACCAGTACTGTTGAGGCAACGAACTGAAATAATAAAAACCCAAACCAACCAAACCAAACCAGCACAGGAGAGCACCTGCTAGAGGCACTCACGGGGCACGGAGCCGTAGGCTTTCGTCAGGTCAATGAAAAAGAAAAAAGCCCTTGGCTGTATGCCAAGGCCGTCACAGCCCCACCTTTTCGGCCGTTTTTTTTTTTTTTTGGAGCACACTGCAACTAAGCGCGAATATCGCAGCTCAGCCCAAACATGGCAAATAATGAAGAATCCTTTTCCCCGATCGTGGTTTATTGCAGAATCAAAAAAGTCTTTCATTGCACTAGTTACACTGAAATGGCACCAAATGCCTGAAAATGCTTGCAATTGGCATCAGTTTTTGAATTTTTTCCCGGGGGAGGATAATGAAGAATTCTTGTCCCCGATCGTAGCGTCTTCTTGGCTTGTTGCAGAATCAAAAAGTCTTTCATTGTAGTTACACTGAAATGGCACCAAATGCCCGGAAATGCTTGCAATTGGCTTGAATTTTTCCCGGGGGAGGGTCCTGGACCCCCCTTCCATGGCCGCCCCACCTCCAAAGTCGGTACAATGGGCCTGTATGCTTTATGGTCTTCTCGAGCAGCTGATCGATGCTGAATACCATGTCCGTGCAGAATCTGCCTCGCCGAAAGCCGCACTGCGATTCTAGGAGGAAGCTGCTGGCAAGGGCCTGTAGTCTCAATGAATCAGAATGAGACTACACAAACATACACACACACACACACACACACACACACACACACACACACATACACACACGCACACACATACACACACGCACACACACACTCACACTCAAACAGACACACGTGCACAAACAGGCATACCCCGCACACAACGTTTTCAGGAGTTGGATTGTACCCTCCAAAAACAAAAAATATCGCAGAGATGTTTGAATAAACGGCGAGGAGACAACAATTAGAGTACCACAATCAGTAATACAAGCTCAATCTTCCTACGTTCATCGTAGTTCTTCACGCATTTGCATCTTTGCATCATCTTTGCATCTTTCCCTCAGACCAATGAATGTATTTTTTTTCGATTCTTGAATTGTTATATTCTGCAGGAGGCGGTTTCAAAGTGGGACAACTTTGCTCTGTGGAACTCCTGCTTCTTGAACAGCCCACACCTCGGTGCAAGACTAGCGCTGAATGGAGCCTCGCCACCGCCAGTTTCTTCGCCTCCTCCGTCTCCGCAGCAGCATTCTGCTCCTTTGTTTACCATTGACTTGGACCAGGAATGTGCCCTGCCGGCGTTTTCTCATTCAGCCGCCAGCTCATCACAGTGTTCAACCTCGGCGTTACATTCGGCGTCCGTGTCGCGATCAGTCCTGGCACCGCGCTCTGCATCCACCCTGGTCACACGGTCCGCTTCAACCGCGGCACAGCGCTCGGCTTCACCTGCCTTGCCACGGTCTGCTGCGCGAAGCTCTGCTTCAGCCTCGGTGACACATCCTGCAACGACCGCCGTACTGTATCCTGCTTCAACTCCTGCGCCGCTATCTGCTTCAACCCCACGCTGTGGTTCATGCTCAGAAACCCTGCCGTCTGCCTCAGCGTCAGTGTCCTATTCAGCTCCAAGTCAGAGTCTCCTTGGACGCAGCATGACCGGTCATCTAGCTGAACTAGGACCTTTTGACGGCGCTGACGTGGACAATGACCGTGACCAGGTTCAGAGCGTTTATGATGAGAACTATGATAACGATGATGATGGCGGTGGAGACAGTGCAGCGGACATGGTCCCCATACCGACAATGCAGTGCCCAACCGCACAGCATCAAAGCTTCTCGCAGCCGATCAACGAACAAGGAACAGTAACAGCAAACCAGACGACACCGGCGACAAGATTCGAGCAGCAGATTGTGCGAAGCACTCCGACAGAAGCCAACTTTGCTATCCGTCAACTGGAACTTGAGTTCGAGGAGCGAAGAGGCCGGGATCAGAGGAAATGGACTGAAGAAATGGAGCAGCGGCGTAGGGAACACGAGGCACGTTTGGAAAGAGAAAGAGAGGATCGGCAAGATAGACGACTGCAAGAACGAGAAGAGCGTGAAGAGAGAAGACGTAAAGCGAGAGAGGATCGGGAAGATAGAAGACTTCAAGAACGCGAGGATCGTGAGGATCGACGAGCAAGAGCACGCATTGAGCACGAGTCTCAGCTGAGAAGACAGGAGGTGGAACACGGCGCTCAGATCTCTCAGCGATGTGGCAACGAGAGAGCGAATGCGAGTGGTGATGCTGGTAGCAGCTAGGTATGTGTGTGTGGGTGGGTGCGCGCACACGCGTGTGTGCATGTGTTCGCTCTCTCCCCTCTTCTGGGGAAGCCCACGTGACCAGTTTTGGCAGTGAGCAAGTACAAGCAAGTACAAGTGTGTGTATGCATGTGTGTGTGTGTGTGTGTGTGTGTGTGTGTGTGTGTGTGTGTGTGTGCGTGTGTGTTTTAAACGTTCTATGATACGTGCAGGATTTGCCTTGAACGGTTGGTATTATGCATGTGTGTAAGGGAAGTGTTTTTGTTCTTGTTAAGGTTGGTGTTTCTCTTAGAACTGCTCTGAGATGTAGCTGGAGTGCCGGGTGGAAGGATGTTTTTTTTTTGTGGTGCCAAAGTGAAGTTCACACGTTCACGTCACCGCATGTTGTACATTTGAGTTGAGAAACGCAACAAGCTTACTTATGCATGATGTTTCGCTTGTGTAAGGTCACCACCTTGCATGCTGTGCTTCTGTGTACGTATGGGCAAGTTGTTGTTGCTGTTGACTTTTTTTCACTTCACCAATTGCACAGGCATGTTTGCCTTCTCACCGTCCCGTAGGTCGGGTTCTCACAGAAAGATGAAGGAAATTATATGAAAAAATGTATAGAAATGGAACAAGTGATGCCAGATACAATATTGCATGTGCTGTACATATCGGGCATCATTCACCCACTGCCGTACACAGAGATTTCTATGACTTGTGCACTTGCATGTGCAGTCTTACATGTGCAGTCTTCCGATATAACGAACACCAATGCTCCCACTATGCATTTTTTTTTGTCTTTGCCTGTGAGCTGTGATCATTGTAAAAAAATCATGATTGTGCAGGAGAATTAGTTCTTTATAGCCGAAGTTTGTTGTAACAGAAATGCACTCACACTATACAAGCAGCAAGTCATGACTGGCAAGTGGCCCATGACAGTATGAGTGCACTTGGTATACATGCCGCCCAGGCCCCTACCATATTTGATTCGTTATAATACCACCGAAGTCGCAACTTTTAAGTTCATAGACGAGAACTGTGTATATAGGGTCAATTTTGTATGGGTTCGAACAGGGACATGGAGAATGGTTTGCTTGCCTGTATGACGACGTTTGCTATATCCGAGTAAAGTGGAGTCGACTGTATGTTTAGTTTGTGGATTAGCTGGAGCATGGCACATCGTCAGATCAGTGACGCACAGCAAAGGGGTTTCTGCCGCGATGATTGCGACTCGAGTCGGAGTTGCTCGAGCAAGTCCATTTCCGATGCCAGGTTGCAACGCTAACGCCGAGACCTCTGGTCGGTCGAGTTGCTCCCTGTACATCGGCACGTCCTCCCTACATCCCCTGTGTCTTACTTTGTGATTGTTTCCACATGTTTCTCACTAGGATGCTATCTCCTTTAATAGTAAAAACAATAAGGAGAGGAGTTTCACGCACATGCATTAAGGGCTATCTGACATTATCGATTAATTTTTCACGAAGCGAAAAAGTTTAGTTACGACCCTCCGCCACCCCCTTGAACGAAAAATCATGAGATTAACTTGACAGCCAGGGTGCCTTGATGTCTTACAATATCAATACTAGTATTAGAACTACTATTGATATGTGAGACGTCTTTTCAAAGCGAAACTCCCTTTGATCCACCTACCCATAAACGAAACTTGTTCTCTTCGTGTAAAAGATCGATCATACGGACGGCCCCTAATATAAGCGATGCGGCGATCAACAGTAAGTTCTTATCTTAGTAAAAATGAATATAAAACAGAGAGGTTCCAGGCTGTCCAAGAGAGTGCTCAATACCGAGTGGTAGAGCTGGTTCAAACAATAGGAGGACAGAGAAAGTGTTTTTGTGACTCCGAGTTTGACGCACTAAGCGATCATCAGAAAACAGTAATGAGAAATATGGACCAGTATTGGTTTATATACTCACAAAGCAAAGTGTAAATAGCTGAAGCATGGCGCAAATCTAAAAGTTGTGAACGGCGGCAGCGCAAAGCGTGAATGACTGCATCATGAGGCAAATCCAAAAGTAAAAGTGTGAATGACAGCAGTGGTGAAAGGTGACAACCACTGGAGACGGTTGTCTCTTACTTAATTAGGTGATGGCTGTGGATGGTTTAAAGTTCCGAAGGTAGTACCTATTCTCATGGCGACACTTTGACACAAGCTCACTCCTTTTGTTGAGAGAGAGGTGCTTGCGCGATTGCCAATTTTTCTGCAAGGCACAGGTTGCACCTTTTGCTTTTGTTGCTGTAGGCCGCTGCTCTGCGGTGTACTGCCCATTGAATGCTGCATGCCTTCCCTTCATCCTTTTTGGTCCAGACGTACTGCGATAGGCGGGTGTCCTTCTCCTGTTGTCTGTGGCGGAATGAGGATTGGTGGTTATAGTAGCGTTGTTTGAATGTTGTTGCTGTTAATCCAGTATACTCCTTCTTCTCCATACCTGCGGTGACTCTTGCCTTATACACGATGCTCTCCGTTAGACACGCTCCGTCCAGTGGACATGAGTCTTTCGCCCGACAGTTACAAGTCCTGGTGTCGTTGTCACCTCCGTTAGCTTGTTTCTTGGGTCGTAGAATCGTGTTATTGTGTTGCTTGATGATAGTGGCCATATTCTGCATGCAACTGTAGCTAACCTTTACAGAGTTCCGGTTGAAGATTTTGTTGAGGCTCAATTGAGCCTTTGGGGAAGTGTTTGGCCACTAGCTGGAGGAAGCGATGTCCGACGTCGGTGGCGACGTTCTTGCTAAAATGGTGTGTTGAACCATATGATTTTCCGGGGGCGATTTCTTTTCTTCTTCTTTTTGTCTCGTCCGTTTTACGCTCGTCAAAATACTGTACGTTCTCCTGGTATCCACTCTTCCTCCGCGCGTCACTGTAGATCGGAGTGGCATCTCTGAAGACGTCTTCATCATTGGAAATATCTGTTAGTCTTCTGCTGATCGATGCAGGTAGGTTCTGTATGATTGTAGGTGGATGATTTGACTGGCAGTTGATGCACATCGGCTTGTGAGTATAATTATAAACCAATACTGATCCAGATTTCTCATTACTGTTCAACTTTTCTGATGATCGCTTAGTGCGTCAAACTCGGAGTAAAAACACTTTCTCTGTCCTCCTATTGTTTGGTTTAAAAATAAATAGGGGCGAAAGTTGGCACTGAGATCCCGAGTTCGAGTACTCTGATTTTCTCCGATCGAATATTCGAGTTTTCGAGCATTCTTGATATCCTTAAAATCGCACACCAACCGCCTCAAAAATCACATGATACAACCCTGATTGAACCGATAGGTAGTTCTTTTCTGGGGTGTATTGGTTGGTGGATCATTTGGGCTCTCTCTACTCGTGTACAAGAGTTCACCACACAGTCTGCACATCAATATCTGCTGACTGCTGCTCTGAAACTGCAGACTTCTGTGGTAAATGTATGTATCATGTATGAGCAAGCACTCTGATTTATTCCGAGTACGATTATATTTGAAAAACCCAAAAGAATATTCGAATATTCGGTATAATTGTTTCACCCCTAACAGAGAGAGCTTGGAAGCTCAGGGCCCTACGCTATGCTTTTTTCCTTGATGACCTAGACAAAAAAAAGCATAGGGATGTTATAAATTCTTTAAAAAATTCCTTTTTTTAAGACATAACCTGGGATTCGAACCCGCACTATCGCGCCCTGCATGCATCCCCCGATACACTTCGCATACATACTAATTCTTCCAAGTTGCTTCACATTATGATCTTTCATTTGAAAGCCCTATTTGAATATGCATTGTGGCCAGCCGTCTTTGATGGTACGGTACGGTAGGGATAGGTACGGGACAGGTACGATCGAGGGTAATACGACACCGTCTCCCGTATCGTACCATCAAACACAGCTGGCCACATACAGCTGCCCGCAATATTCAAATAGGGCTTTCAAACGCAAGATCATAACGTGAAGCAACTTGGAAGAATGGGTATGAATGCGAAGTGTATGGGGGAATGCATGTAGGGCGATAGTGCGGGTTCGAATCCCAGGATATGCCTGAAAAAATAGGAGAATTGAAAAATTTATAACATCCCTATGATTTTTTGCCGTCAGATACGGGATAGCGCCAGGCGTGACACAAACAAACAAACACACAAATACCAAACGAGAGAGCTTGGAAGCTCAGGGCCCTACGCTATGCTTTTTTGCCTTGATGACCTAGACAAACAAAAAGCATAGGGATGTTATAAATTTGTAAGAAAGGGTTTGCTCCCCACACCGGAGCTCGCGCTATTCCGCCGACTTTACTTGACACTTGACTGACTCACGACTGCCATCCAGAGCACACGAGAAGTCCATCGAACCTTCGACTCGGCAAACCTGCAAGAAAGCACCACTCCCTGCTCAATACACAGTGTTTCGGGGAATTCACCCCTCATCAGTTGAGCTTGAGTAGGCTGAGGAAGATTGTGCCTGAAGAGCACCACTTATATAGTGCTCTCCAGGCACAAACATCACCAGGGATACAAACTTACAGACACGCTCCGTTTCCAGCGCGACAAACAACTCGTGAACACCAGATAGCAGCGTGAGTCAGTGTCGCTCCTGGACGGTGAGACAGACGTCGAGTGCCCTCGGTCTTTCGCAAGGCTGTCACCTCCAAACCAACTAGTCGCAAGCCCGCGCTGGGCATCACAGTACGAAATAGTGTTTGCGACTTCGGCGATGATTTGTAAGAAAAGGTTTGCCCCCACACCGGAGCTCGCGCTTTCCGCCGACTTTACTTGACACTTGACTGACTCACGACTGCCATCCAGAGCACACGAGAAGGCCATCGTGTCGTGAGTCAGTTAAAAATTCTTTAAAAAAATCCTTTTTTTACGACATAACCTGGGATTCGAACCCGCACTATCGCACGCCCTGCATGCATCCCCCGATACACTTCGCATACATACTGATTCTTCCAAGTTGTTTCACATTGTGATCTTGCATTTGAAAGCCCTATTTGAATATGCATTGTGGCCAGCTAGCCGTCTTTGATGGCACGATACGGTAGGGGATAGGTACGGGACAGGTACGATCGAGGGTAATACGACACCGTCTCCCGTACCGTACCGTACCATCAAACACAGCTGGCCACATACAGCTGCCCGCAATATTCAAATAGGGCTTTCAAACGCAAGATCATAACGTGAAGCAACTTGGAAGAATGGGTATGAATGCGAAGTGTATGGTGGGATGCATGTAGGGCGATAGTGCGGGTTCGAATCCCAGGATATGCCTGAAAAAAAAATAGGAGAATTGAAAAATTTATAATGTAGCGTCTCTGACGTTCTCGCATCATGACATCATCATTTGTTTGCATGTACACGTCATATTTTCCTCATCATCACAAACACTGATTCACCATACTCTCGCACACATTGTAATACCTACTACACGTACTTCGCTACCATAATAATTACGTAATGTTTGGCTAGCATAGTTCCAATACACATTACGACATCTTTTGATGTTACGCACTCCTCGCCTACAACGCTATTGTAGAAAAGTAGTCTTTACTCATCTCTTGTAAGTTCTGTTTGCATCCAAACACTTCTTCCAAACAGCACACGTCAGATATCTAACAAAACAACAAACTTCATTGCACAGTCTTCTATCACAATCTCTTTCCTATATAAACCTCCTTTCTCTTCACTTTCTTCATGACATTTAGTGTTCGCCAGTCTTGTAAAGATCTTGGAAACTAACACTCGTTGCACTGTATCTAGACTACTAAATTGGTGACCCCGACGTGAGTAAAGTGCAATATGTCCAGCAACGCTGGTTCTTCCGCTTCCGCTCGCTTTCGGGCAGTAAGTCTCTAGACCCGACTATCCTGCGCGAGCTGTTTGTACAGCGTTTGCCCGTGACTGGTGCCTCAGCCTGGCCGACCTCGCCGCGCTTGCTGACAAGATGGTTGAAAGCACGTGCTCAACCCCACTCAAGCTCACCGGTACAAGTGTTCACGCTCTGAGTGAAGCCCCTCGCCCTGCTCGGTC